GCTGTCAAGTGTTCTCGTTTATCTATGGGCATTTCTGAGCCTATCAGTCCCAGTCTCGTTCTGATAGCTGAGTCGCTTCGAGGTCCTCGAAGGATACGAGTGCACAAATGCGATGACCCTATCCGACCTCGAGGTACTCTCGCTTAAATCATGGTGCACACTCTTCTCAGCCGTGTTTCAAGCCACTGCTGTGAGTGGCAGTAAATGTCCAGCGTCAAGCTTGTGTTCACGCTGACCACTCTGATTCTGATTTAGCTTCGCGAGATGCATATGCACTAGCAGGCATGATGCGAATGACGTTTTTGTTTGTGAAGATGGCAGTGATTTTATGAGTCTTTCATTCCGAGGACAAAGAGGATGTAGACCTAGAAGGGTACGTTAACAGAAGCATCACGACATGAGTCTTTCGTCGAGCATTCTTTGCCGATGTGCTGTTGAAGAACCCAAGCTGTCGGTATCTGTCGCTTGCAGATTTACGCCTCATGCCCGGGGGCAGTAACGATTTTGCACGAAGAAATCGCTCTGTTTACGGATCATCCGATCAAATGCTGGAATAATGTTGACGTTTTGTGTTGTTTGTCGTTTGTCGTTCCCTTCCATTCTAGCAGTATACATGTACAACAATTAACGTGGTGTTACGGCGGTCCCTATGAATCAGCCAAACGTGAGTAGATCGTACCCCTTATGGCAATCAGCGCGCTAACCGACGGCTATAAAGAAGAACTGAAGTTCTGCGGTCGCCACCTCCAGATGCAGCATGTCCTTAATCCAGTCTCCCATTCTCTCTCCTTGCGTGGAGCAGCTAGTATCTTCCACTGTACAGATAGCATATGACCAAAGCCGCTTGCTATCGGCTGTGGCTGTCAGCGTCCTCTTCCATCTTATACTGCGCTACCGGCAGAGTCCGTGGAGGCATCTACCACCAGGACCAACAGGATACCCGATCCTTGGCAGTGCGCTGAAGTTATTCGACAAGCACTGGCTCTTCTATGAGAGCAAGCAGAAGTACGGTGAGCGTTCTTCGCTCTCATCCTTGCGTCGGTGCTGATTCAGAATTACCTCTGGAAGGGGATATCGTGTATTTGAATGTCATCGGTCAGCCGACAATTATCCTCAACAGCCAGCGCGTGGCTGCAGACCTGCTCGATCGTCGCGCGTCGACTTTTTCTGGGCGACCACGCCTTATAATCGGCTATGAGCTTCTCACACAACAGCTGCTCTTTGCCCTAGGCGGGCATAACGATCGGTATATGATTTGGTTCGCCGTATTGATTCATCGCGGCCAACTGCTATCCTGGCAGATGGCGCCGGATGCGTCGCGCCGTCAACGAGGCCTTCAACGTCGGATTCACGGGACGCTATCACGGGATGGAGGCAGAAGAAGCCATACGCCTCGCTCTGGCACTCACTGCGGAGCCAAGCGAATTCATCCGCCTTTACGACCGTTACGCTGCGTCACTAGTGATGATGATTACATATGACCGCCCATTGCACGGCTCGGAAAAAGACGACGCCATTCACGAGCGCCTACACGCCTCTAATCGCCGTAGCGTCGACGCTATCACACCCGGTGCTCATTTGGTCGAGTTTTTCCCGTGGATGCTAAGGTTGCCTACCTGGTAAGCTTATGTCAAGGTATGATTTGCGGACTTTTGTACCAATCATACATCCAGGTTAGCGAAGTGGAAGCGAGACGCACTGAATGGCTATCAAGAGACAACGGAACTGTATGAAGAGCTAGTCGACGATGTAGTCGAACGACGGGTAAGCACGAACTTAAGCAGCATTCGGAGGGTCTCCCTCATCTCCAATACAGGCTAAGGGTTCTGCAAGAGACTGTCTTACCACAGTTCTGACCGAGGAGCAAGAGAGGTTCGGCTTATCCCGTCCCGAGGTGTTGTGGTCTGCAGGAACGATGTAGTGCGCATCATCACATAGACTCGGAGTAAGCATCGGTGCTAAGCACTGCACAATAGCGCTGCCGCAACTGAGACAATGGCAACCATGCTCGGCTGGTGGACCCTCGCCATGGTCGCCTTTCCCGACGCACAACGCACGGCGCAAGACGAGCTCGATACAGTGCTGGGACAAGCGCGACCGCCGCGCGTCGGGGATCGCCCGCAGTTGCCGTATACGTCTGCGCTGGTTCGGGAAACTCTCCGTTGGCGTTCGGGATTACCACTTGGACTGCCGCACGTCAACGAGCAAGATGATTGGTATGAGGGCATGTTTATCCCTAAAGGCACCGTTATCTTTGCCAACGTGATTGGCTGCAATCACGATCCCGAGGTGAGCTTTAGTCTTGATGTATTTTCGGCGAAAGTATGCTGAGCGTAGCTAGATATATGGCGAAGATGCCCGCACATTTAATCCTTCCCGTCATCTTAACACGGATGGGCAGCTTAAACCGGCGGCGCCGGACACGAAAGACGAAGGACATGTCTCGTTCGGATTTGGCAGACGCATTTGCGTTGGCCGGCACGTGGCTGACGACGCACTGTTCGCTGCGATCGCAATCCTTCTCTGGTCTTTCAAGTTTGAGAAATCTGAAGAGGTCAGCGTGGGAATCGACCATGACAGTGGATTGACTATGTAAGACTCCTTCTCCCTCAAATCGGCAGCGAACTAGCACGCGAGGATGATGCTGACTCCGGATGTTTTAGGGCTCCGCAATCATTTCGATGTAAAATAACGCCGCGATTGCCTGAGACATTAGATATACTTACCAGAGAAATGGAGGCGCGCTAGGCCGCGTCGTGAAGTGGAGCCTCCGGCCGCGGGAGAACGGGTTCGCGCGTATGGTGCTTGAGCTTGATCGTCTATTGCATGGAGGAGGCGCATCAGGATACGACTGTCAATATTTACCGCCTTGCTCGAACGGTCGCACGGTCGCACACATTTTCGGCGGCTTGCCATTTCATCACTGCATTCGTCAGATATGCACATTTACCTTCATTCTCGGTATCGTTTAAAATGACAGGCGTGCGCAGATTCACACCAAAGTGCCTACCTTCGATTCTTCATGGTCGTCTCCAACTGCAGTCCGCTCCTGTGGCGCCGGACCCACCGCGCGGTGAACGCAGGCTTCCGGCCCACGGTTGCTGCGTGGCTTGCTCTCTGCCTGGCATGTGCACATCACTGCGCGAGCTACGCGGCATCCCTTCCGCTCGCCATCGTTTATGACCGGCCCGTGCGGGACACCGCGGAAGACGAAGCTCTGGTGGCGACGACCAAGGTCTGATCACACGCTTAGAAAATGCCTCCGCGCCAGGCGCCCATTTCGTTGTGTTCTTCCCCGCTGTGCTCACAACTCCTGCCCGGGATATTGCCCGTATCTACTCGTTAATCTGCAGCTATCCTGTATGTTGCAGGATTACGAAGTAGAAGCGCCACGCTCTAGAAGATCACGCACATTCCACTCAGTTTCTCGATGGCCTGGTGGGGGACGTGAACCACTCAAGCGATGGATGGTATGTCTGCTCCTTTATCTCCATGCGATTACCTTAAAATTGAGCAAGTAACTGGGAAAGCCCGACGGTGTCTCGTGCACCTGGTCATCGAAGAAAGACAACACCTCGAGCTGCCGAATGTAGAGACATCGTGGAAAGCATCATGGACGGCCGGTGCAATGCGACGTGTCTTTGAATTTTCTTCACGATTTGCTGGTGAGGACATGTCTTGTAACTTAGTGTCGCAAGTGTCAAGATTGAGGCCGTTGTCATCGGACCGAAGACATTGATCCTCTGGATGTTCTGCCTGTAGCCCAGAGAGCTTAATTACTTCGACAACCTCAAGCTCTCCTGCATCCTCTCCCTTCCTTTCGGCAGCGTCAGCTTCAGTCTCCGCATCCTCTCGAACCAGACGGTTAGCCAAGACCTCGCTTTCTACGAGGGCTTCTCTACGCTCCATTTCGAATCGACAACTCTCACACAGTCGCATCCTGTATACGACAGGGTGGAGTGGCTCGTGTCTAGCTCTTGCTTCTCGCGCTGGAGCCCGGCACTCTTCGGCCTCGTCATCATCGCATCCTTCAGTTTCAGCGAGTGTTCTTGCGCAACGTGCTCGTGCAGCATCTGGACCGTCGCGAAGCTCATGGAACGGATACATCCACCGCCATGCGCGCAGCTCGGACCGACATCGTCCTGCAAGCACGAGCCTTTGAACATGTCGCTCGATTACGAGTGCGGGTGCGTCGTGCATCCGAATAGCAGAACGGCAGGATTATTAACGGGCGTGTCTTGTGCAAACTGCCGGTCGAATTTACGTAGACGGCGCCTGAGACCGAACGTGACCTTGAGTCTGGTCTGGAGAAGAACATGCTGCGCGCCGTTGGCGTCCGTGGCTTCCTCGGACTCGCGCGATCCTCTCGGCGATGCCGGACACTCGTTAAACCGGCATCGCCCCGAGCCCAACATAATGTCCACTGTCCCGAGGGCCTCCCAGACTATCCGAAAAGTGTTCATACAATCCATTTCTGCTAGAGATTACACGCCTTGAAAGGAGAGTCACGTATGACCGTCCCAGTAAGCTTTTTGGGTTATGCGAACGAGGGAGAGCCGAGAGAAGGGCCCGGCCACTGTCTCCGCATGAGAAAAAGATATGTCAGAGAGCCGGAATGGAAGCTGGAAGGATCGTGCTCCGCATACACAAGCTCTCCGCCATCTCGTCTCCCTCCTATTCGACAGCCCGAGCGTCCCAGTATATGCCTTGCTCCGGAAAACGCAGGAGCTGCCTCCGGTCTGAGGGCGAGTGGAAAGATCATACACTGGGAACCTGGAGTACAACTTGTTCTGACCAGTAATGTATCGGGTAGTGTTCACTACAGCTTGTTTTGTATCCTCGGAGCAATTCAACATTACGGCCGACGAGTGAAAGTGTACGAACACTCCCCGGCACGAGCTGATCTCGTACCACAGGCAACTTGAGTGAATGCATGCTTGCGCTGAATGCCGCCAGTTTCGTCGTACTATACCCAAAAAAGATGGTCATATATTCGTGTCAGGTCGTACCAGGGTTCGAACCTGGGTTTCGGGAAACTATCAACGCAGATTGCACTTCAAAATCCCGAGTGATAACCACTACACTATACGACCACTGTGTAAATAAAGAGCTCTTCATATAACACCACGTCTGTTTGTTCAAGGGCCTATGTTTACGCAATTACATATTCCTCTCCGCACTCGGCCCTCGATTGGCCACGATCCCTTCCGTGCGTCTCAGGCAACCGACAACGCCGGCCAACATCTCATGCTTTCGCTTCCCCAGAGCAGTAACAGGAGCCTTCCACAACCTCCCTCATTCGCACCGTCACACCCTAGGCCTCCACCCTGCCTTCAGAGCCCATACCAGATGATACAAAAGCATATGTATTTCTTCTTCGACCTGCCTCAGCCGTACGTACGAATTCCGAGCAGCTGCCAAGCACAGTGACCACCACCGCGAGCCAAACAAACGATACAGAGAGACGCCGACACAGGACACGGGGAAGTGCGAGAACGGTATGGGTAAGAGAGTGGTGGAGTTCCGATCCGGGGGAACGAGGCAGAGTGCGTGCACTATGAGCGAGGATTAGAGAGACGTAGCCTACGGTCCGGATCGCGAGGCGATGCACACGGGATGATGATGGAGGAGACGGAAAGACGGTAAGGAGGGTGCGGCCGTGCGGGAGTGACGGCGGATAAGACGAAGTGGAGCATAAATACCCAAGAGAGCATGCGATGCAGGGAACGGGATGAATGGATCGAGACAAGACAGTGGGATGAGATGAGATGGGATGCGGTGGGTAAGATATGATGGAGGGGAGAGAGCGGGGGGAAGCGCGGCTACTTCTTGCCAAGGCTGAGCGCGCGCATACTCTCCTCGAGCGCGCTAGTCAGCGCACCCATGCAGTCCGCCGGGTTGCAGTCGCGCCGCACGGGCACGGCCGCAGCTGCAGGCGTCGGGCGCGGCGACACCAGCGCGGGCGTCAGGCGCGGCGATAAGGGGGCAACCGCGCGCGGGGTTTCGTCAACGTCGACGACGCGCACAACCGCCTTGCCCTCGAGCACGCGGCGCACCTTGTCCGCATCGACGTTCGTGCGTGCGCCGGCGCCAGCGGGCTGGCCAGCAAACGCATCCCAGAACGCGCTGCCGAGGCGCTGGAAGAGTGTCTGCTGTGCCATGGCAGCAAGCACTGCGTGCTGCGCGCTCGGCGACGCGGGCTCGGGCTTCGGCGCGAGCTTGGGCGACATGTGCGGGGACGCGGGTGGCGATGGGTACGCACGCTCGGGGTGCTTGCCCGCGAGGAGCGACGAGAGACCTGGTGCCTTCGCGGACGAGAAGAAAGCCGGGCGCATGTTCGCCGCGAGACCGGTGATCGGCATGCTCGGCGCGGGAAGCTGCTGCTGCGCCGCGAGCTGCTGCTGGAGCTGCTGTTGCTGCTGCTGGCGTGTCTGCTGCGCCATGCGGGTCCAGAGCTGCATGCGGTACCTGTGTGGTGAACGAGGTGGTCAGCAGATGCACAGCAATCGTAGGTTGATAAGCGCGTACGCATCGAGCATCTTGACCGTGAATGGGTTCGTGTCCGCAAACGCGTCGAATGGCGCGGGTCGCCCGAGGCCAAACGCAGCACTGTTCTGTTGCTGTGCGCCCGACGGCACGTTAAGCGCAGGGTTGATGTTCTCCTGGAGCTGCGGGCTCCGGCGGCCGATCGGCTTAACGTTCGCGAGCGGACGTGCGAAGCTCTCTGGTATGATGGTCGTGTGCACTGATGTGACGCCGCCGAAGGCGCCCATGCCGGAGCCTCCCCAGAACGCCTTGTTCGCAAGCCCAGGAGACGCCGGTAGGTCCTTCTGCGTGTTCGGTGTCAGGAGTGGCGTCGGTGGAGCCACGGGGCGGGTGGCCGAGGGCAGCGGGCCTGGCGGTGGAAGGACGGGAGCGTTAGCGGCGGTAAGCAATGCCTTTTTGAGCGCAGAGATTTCTTCACGGAGAGCCGCGTTCTCGGACTTTGTGCTTCCGAGCTCGGTGCGAATTGCATCAATGAGTCGGTCGCGCTCAGCAACATCGCCCTCGAGCGTCGTAATGTACTCTGACAGCAGAGGGAAGATGAGATGCGGGGTGGCGGAAGTAACAAGGACGCTCTTACCCTTGCGGCGGACACGGAAATTACGGGCGGAGATCTTGTTTCGTAGCTGGCGCTTCTCCTTTGAGCTCATCTTCTTGTACTCCTCGGGAGACGGGCGCCAGTCGTCAAGCTCATCATCATCATCGTTCTCCTTGATCTTGACGACGGCGGAGAGCGCGGGCTTCTTTGCAATGCCCCCAGACTGGACGGTGCCACGGCGAGCCTTCCCCTTCCCGCCAGCCTTGAGGACCGGCGCGGTCGAAGCGATGGGCGACGCGACCGATTCGTGGTCATCCTCATCGTCGCCTTCGTGTGCATGGTCACCCGGGGACTCGAGCTTGTCGTAAGAGGAAGAACTGGCAGGGGTGTGGACAAGCTGCGGATCGATGGCGAACTGGGAGCCCTCGGAACTCGACTCAGGGCTAGTGTTACCGAAGGCGGCGAGAAAGTCGAAGGGGGCGCCGGTGATGGGCAGCGGGGCGGCGAGAGGATCGACCTTAGACACGAACTCGCTGTCGAAGGGGGAGCCAAAGTTGAAAAATTCGGTGGCGAAAGAATCGGGATCGGCGACAAAAGGTTGGGGAGGTGTGGCGAGAGTGTCAGAGGGTGCAGGAGACCTTGAGCCCGCCCTGGAGCCCGATGAGGATGATGAAGGCCTGGCGGCGGTCTGCTGGGGCTGCTGAGAGGTGAAGAGGTCCATGTTCAAAAAGTCAGACATGTCAGTCGGATAGTCGTTGTTGGGGTTGCAAAAAGGGGACGGCGACAAAGCCGAGTCGACGAGCATGGTGGGCGCGAAAGTTGTCTATGTGTCGGGCCACGTATCGTATTGAAGTAGAGACGGCCTGCGGTGGCGGTGATGGAGGTGGTGGTGGTTGGGAGTCAAGTCGATGAGTTCGGAGTCTTGGGCAGTCGCGGCGCACGAGCCCGCCTCGAGGCCGCGTCGTCTTTGCCGAGCCTTGCTTACTCATCCGTCTCGTGTCATCCATCCCCCGCCTTCCCCGCCCTTCGGGAGGCCCGGCGGTTGATGGCACGAACGACGACATCTGGACAACCGAGCAGCTTCTCTTCATGTGAAGCTGTCTTTGAACTCCGACCTACTCAATTCGAACGGGCGAGTCCTTCATCTCTTCCTTCCCTCCCCCTCGTGCCCACGGCGTGCAAGATCGCAATCGCAGACGTTCTATCCGATGGGCCTGCACCGCCCCAACGCGCCCTGCACTTCCAACGAACCGGCCGGCGTACACTCGACGAAAGACCCGCTGCGTGAATTGAAAACTAGATTGGGGCTGACCAACACTGCGCGCAGCAAATATATAGCTGTAAGTCAGCAGCAGTGCCACCGCGCCAACCGCCGCGAATCGTCAGCATCAGCCGGCTCCTCCCAAGCGGGTGAGCACCTTATCTGATCCTGCCGCCGTCACCATCCATCTGGCATCTTCGACTGAACGAGGGCGACCGGCGACCTGCGTGCCCGCTATTCGCTCCCACCTCGACCCCAGTATTCCAAACTCCCAGCCTGTGCTCGGCGTCTTTAGGTATCAGGACCCCGAGCTGAGTCTTCCACCCGCAAATCGCCTTCGATTGAGCGCTCGGTGCCTGGCGTTCGGTCTGTGCACTCGTTGAGGGCCGGCATCAGCACGGCAAGAACGGTCGAGACGCAAGCACAGAAGACCATGACACTGCACGCGCCTCGCGATGACGATAGGCCTGACGGCTGTCTTTTCGTCGTTGTTCTCGGAGAGTCCGGCGACTGAGGCGTGGTACGGACAGGGGCAAGTCCGGATTAAAGTCCGGCAGGGACGGCGCCGTACTGAATCGTATGATGAATGAATGATCTGCGAGGATGTCATCTTGTACGCATGCTGACTTCGTGCACCGCGAGCCTGTAACAGGCGACCATGCGTTCCCACAGCGTCGTCCCCTTCTCCGGCTGGGCTCAGCGTTCAGCGCTCAGGCTCGAAGATCGAATCAGAGGCGCAGGACGGTCACATATCTTGCCACTGTCATCGTCCGAGACAAACACTCCTGGCATGTCCTGAAGGGTACTTGCTGACTCGACCGACGCTGTCGTAGATTTGAAGTCCAGCACTTCCCATCTGTGTAAGGTGCTCTTCTCCAAAATCTTGCCCAGGTAGACGGCCGTGCTGCGCCAAAACACGACGGGACAGGTGCCAGCTCACAGTCCTTGCCACGCTCCAGATCGTTGCTGGCGAAGCCCATGTTCTGGAGGCACACGAAATGGTGTAGGAGCTCCCGTCGGCAAGTCCGGGCGACCCCCGGATCAGAGGCATCGGCGATAAGGTAGCAGCACTTGGATATATATCGGAGATAGCGGCTAATGTCAGCAACCGCACTGAAGTTGAGCGGTGCTCTTACCTCTCAACGACCTTCTCTCCTTGAGTTCCTCAGCCGGAGATCTATTCGTAAATTATGTCTTTTCAGTGGCTGCTCTACAAACGCAATCCCTTATAGACGTGGGCAGTGCCTCTCTTATGGGCTGAATCCTTTGCTATAGGGCGACATGCTATCAAGGGCGGGTGAACGGGCAGACGGCATTGCAGCCGCAATCACTCCTCAGCCCCCCATGCGCTCAGCACCTCTTCCTAGCCTGTTTACTAGAGTTGATCTTCTACGCAGACTCCGTCGTCATCCTGTCGGCCCGAGTGCCGGCCTGCTACCAGTACGCATTCGCGCAATCTCATGACATATGAACTAATGGCACATATCTTTTCATTGTGTATGATAGGAGTTTAGAAGCGTGCAGAGGGGCTCTACCCGGCCGATCTCTTGCTCAATGTACATAGTAGCCATATACTATCGAAGGAACAGAGTGCATATACTCTGAGAATTTTGTCTATGCCATTCAGAGGAAGCCCCTTTCCGTTCTCATAAAGAAAGTCTTTCATTCAGTCACGCGTACTGTTTGTAAACTTCAAACCACTCTTTTCCTATTTTTTTGACGGTTCCGTTTGTGAATGGTACTTCAATAAT